ACTGCCCCTCCTGCTATTTTGCATTTGTATTGAGCTAATTTCACACCCTCTTTGTATTTTCAGTGTTCCATGTTAGAAGACTTCATAGCATGAAACATGCTTGAAAAGAAAGTAAAAATGAAAAACATTTTCCTAAATACAGCATGTATCCACCAGAATCTAACTCAAGTCTATATAACAGGGTCTTATAAATTGGCGATGGAGCCCCGATTCCAACTGTGCGAGGTTATAACCTCCTTGATTTTAGCCATATGTTCAGACAATCTTTGTTCTCCATTTTAGTACCAAATTACATATTTAGTGTATTCCGAATTCCAGATTACTAGTATGTTACGGACTAATCATGGAGGTAAATCTTTACTAGCGTTAAACGCATTGTGTGAACCATAGAGGTAGAATTATAACCTACTCGTGTGAACGAAGACCCATAGCACGGTCCAAAGATATAGCAAGGAGGTTATAATCTCATAGTCCTTGGTTATTTAGCCAGCATGCGTCACTCAATGTCCAACTGACAAGGCCTGTGTATTATAAATATTTAGCCTCTACCAGGCTTCGGAAGGTAGCAGGAAAGAGTAAGAAATTGGTCGATTTCATGCACCCGGGCACGGCAAAATGTACTTTCTAGCAGACCAACTCCGTCGGCATATTATCTCTCTATTTGGCCAATTTCTAATATTTCCAGCCACCTCCCAAAGACTCAGTAAAGGCTACTGTGAGAGACTACGATGGCCATAGTTTGCAAACAGGATTCAAAATGACCATTTTACGTGCTAAGTGTTCTTTAGTGGCCCCTATTATTATTAAAGAAACACTAGTACTACCATTATGTAGCAAATCAAAGCTACCATTATGTACCATTTCACGTCATCAAAATTAAAAGTTAAAGCACGTAAATAAACATAATAAACATTCTGAAAACGGAGGGATGACAAGAAACTACATGAACTGTATAATGGTATAAGCAAGGAAGTTTAGGGAAATACAGGACATGTTCGTAGGTGCATGTTTGGAGCCAGACAAGTTAATACACATCAAACGATTTTTCATCTCACTGGGCCAGGGTTAAAAGTCTGTTAGAAATTTTCTTCAGATGAATTATATTACACATCTATAGCTATCTTCTGCCCAACACTCGGCAGAGCTGTTGTTCAGGTTCATTGAGCTGCTACGTATAAAACCACATTTCAAACCCAGAACTTTCAATTCGAGGAGTAAGAAACAAATGTTTAAAAACAAAAACTTTTGTGGTAAAGTCTGAATTTGAATGGATACATGCTGCCGTCTGCCCTCTATGCATAATTAAAGATAATTGCCTGTAATTGCCTTGAGTGGAGGTGCGAAAACAATTAATTTCATTCACAGTCATGAGGCTTGATAAAGATTGACAGGTCAAGGAAGGAAATCGACCAGAATTTAGAGTTTTAAACTTTAAAGCCCGAGACCAAACTCTTCCCATTGGGTTACAAAGTTGAAATCCGGTGCAAACAATGCGTAAGAAGTCGGTTTCTATGAATCGGTTTTCAGAAAAACTACTTTATCCCCGTATATCTAGCTATTGGTAGATAAAGTCATACCTACCCCCTATAATTCTACCAAAATGGACTATACTTCAAAATATTTTCAGATCTAAGCTATATTCTTCTTTTCTGGAAACCGATTCCTATAAAGTGCATATCTCTCCACATTCTCTGAAAGTTTTGTATTACAATTCTGAGCGGAAGAGTTTGGTCTAGGCAGATTTTATATAGCCACAATGATCTAATATTATTATTATTTATGGAACAATTATGCAGATTTTTGAAGGAAGAAGTAGTTATTTAGAATCAGTGGTATTTCATCTAAGTTACTTTCAAATTTGAAGTTGATTGGTTGCGCCAAACTTGAGATACATGCGATTTCACGGGGAGCTCTGTATCACCCCCATTTTAGTCCAAAGCGCGTCTTAGGTACACGGAGACCGGATTTACGATCAGGCAAAAACCTGAAGTACGAAAATTACATACGCACGCGAGGATATGAAAACTAGGTCTGCTTAGACGTGTGTTAAGAACGTACGTTCAATTCGTGTGATCTGAACGTACATTCTTGAAGTACATCAAAGCAGGCCGGAAACATTTGGCGCATGCAGTTTTCATACGCTCGCATGCACACGCAGTTTTGGTACGTCAGGTGTTCGCCCATGTGTATAAATCGGCCATGTATTAAGCCAGTCTGGAAACGTAGCTCTGTCCCTGAAGACATGTAATGGCCCTTCACTTCAGCTTGAGGATGTGCAGGCACTGATAAAAAGCTAAGAGTGCTGCTACTTGTGGCTAATTATCAGTTGAAGTATGTGCTCCCCTCTATCAACCTTGACAGCTGTGGAAAATGTACTTCTCTCCTCTTCCTGCGTGTTAACTGTGGTGATCTGCTAAAGTGCTAATTTCTTGATTTTTTTTCTTCACCTCCCTTGCAAGAGTACTTCATCAGTGCCCATTTGACTTTTTAGATTAAACTTAGTTCCACCATGAGAGCCTGCATGCCTTTTTCCTTAAGGCATAGGGATTCATGTTACCAGGTAATTCACCATTACACGTAGCCAGCTGCTTTATAATTCAACATCAGAAAATTTTCTTGAAGTATAACAGGTCGATTTAATTCTATGTAGCAGCTTATTTGTTATCCTGAATTCATTGTTGTTATTGAAAATTCTTTATCGTGTAGTCAAATGCCAGATTTCCCCCAGATCATAATGGAGCGTCCAAGGTCTACAAACCTATGCAATTACATGTATATACTGAGGAAGACCAATAAAGTCGTTCCCAATGCCTTACATAAGAACAACCAGTAAGCGATGCCTGCATCCTGATTGAATTTACTGTTCAGCATTGCCAACCCTCCTAAATTTAGCACTAAGCGTTGCCAGCATCACCCCATGCAGATCCTCTCATAAATTTTTACCATTGATTTCCTATACAAATAGCTTTACTGCCCTAATTTGGTGTTTCTTTGGAAGTATGGGCCCCTAAATCGTTGGCCACATAAAAATTTTATGGCAACAAGATATTTCACAGATAATGAATGGCTCACATCACGTACATGTAGCTTTAGATCAATGATGTGTTGTTGAAGTGGACAATAAATCAGAAGTGAGAAGATTTAAGCCAGGAACATGGTCTGGACAGTTTGGTTGTTAATATCTAGTACAAGTTGTATCACTATGTAACACTCTTTCTGCGATTGCACCTTTGTCTGTTTTCTGTCAAAATGGTGCTTCTTCTGTTATACAATCAGATGCAATAAATAAACTAATAACCAAGTACCAGTGTGTGCATCTTCCATTTCATAAGTTTTTCCCAAAAGTAGTCTATAGTTTCAAAC